AAAAAAAAAAAGAAGAAAACATTCTCTGTGCTGGGTGTGGTGGCTCACACCCAGAGACCCAGCATTCTGGGCGGCCAAGGTGGGAGGACTGCTGGAGCCCAGGAGATCGAGACCAGACTGGGGAACAGAGGAAGATCTCATCTCTAAAAGAAAAATCTAAAACTTAGCCAGGCGTGGTGGTGCATGCCTATAGTTCCAGCTACTCTGGAAGCTGACCGGAGGGCTCACTTGAGCCCAGGAGGGTGATCGTGCCACTGCGCTCAGCCTGTGCGACAGTGAGACTCCCACTCAAAAAAAGCAGAACAGAACACACCAAAACACCATTCACGCCAAGGGCCTCCTTGTAAAGCGGCCAGAAAATCGCCTGGCCTGTCCCTGCATGCCAAGACTAGGCACCAAGGCATGCAGTGCCCCCGCCGCCTGAGACAGCATGGTCTCACAGACGTGCGGTCATGGCCAATACCACGAGCAGCATACCGGGACTCGAGAGCCAAGGCCGGCCACACCGCCCTCCCCACCCAGTAGCTGCTGTGGGAGCAGCTGCTTTCAAGGGGAGCAGTCGACGCACGAGGCCATCTACGTTAGGGGCCGTGGTCACGGCCTGTGCTCCTTTCCTGTGTTGGCCAACACTTGTCCCATTCAGACCTGCGGGCTGGAGAGTAAGGCAAAACAGAAGCCACCTTTCTGGGACTCGTGTTTCTCCGTTTTGCCTTGATACTCGAAGCCGACGGCACTCTTATCCACCTTGTCCTTGTCGATACCATATTTGCCGCCAAAGCCTTTGGAGTAATCTAAAACCAAGAGCAGAACCAGTTAAAAATGAGCAGCGAGCCAAGGAACACACGAGGTCTTGGCAGTCTTTAAGAAAGTGCTTAGGGCCAGGCTCAGTGGTTCAGCCTGTCATCCCAGCACTTTGGTAGGCTGAGGCGAGTGGACTGTCTGAGTCCACGGGTTTAAGACCAGCCCAGGCAACTTGGTGAGACCTTGTCTCTACAATAAGTCAAAAATTAGCTGGGGTTGGTAGCGCATGTCTGTGGTTCCAGCTACTTGAAAGGCTGGGGCGGCAGGATCGCTGGTACCCAGCAGGTCGAGGCTGCGGTGGCCATGAGCATGCTACTGCACTCCAGCCTGGGCGACAGAGTGAGACTCTGACTCAGAAAAAAAGAAAGAAAGTACGTGTACGACTCAATTTAAAAAACAAAAAAAATCCGTAAGATTACTGAACTGAGTAACAATGTGGACTATGCTTAAAGGTATTACCTATGTGGAATAACAGAAACATAAAGAGTGGTGGCTGGGTATGGTGGCATGCCTGCGTCCCAGTTACTCAGGAGGCTGAGGCAGGAGGATTGCTTGAGGCCAGAAGTTCAAAGTCAGCCTGGGCAACACAGTGAGAACCCCCATCTCAAAAACAAACAATGCTTTAAAAAGAGTGGAAAATAACTAATTAATAATTGAACTGCCATTCTTCACTCCAGGAAATGACAAGTTCACCTGCCCGAAATGACAAGTTACAACAAGGCTCTGTGATGAGGGTAAGCCGTGGCCACAAGGTTTTGAACGGTCACTGCTTCAACCGAAGCGTGCCAGGGTGCCAGGGAGGACCTTCCAAGCCACAGGACCCATTCAGAGCACCTCCCCGAAGTGTTGAGCACATCATTATTGTTCTAGAGCACGAACCGCTCAGACCCCTTAACGGCCTAGGCTGAAGAGGTCACATCCTGGGAGAGGGCCCGAGGCAGCCAAGGGGCTTCAGGCTTGCCCAGTCTCTGTGGGCCGTGCACCCAGGCTCTGCAGGTTTATGCTGCAGGCCAAGAAGGCTCTCGGGCCCACTGGCACCTTCCTGTGGAAACCCAAGTTGGTGTGGCTGGAACGCCAAGTGGAGTGTTCTGGGTTTTTTAAAAAGAAATCTGGGTTGTTTCTTTAAAATATTCAGACTCTGAGTTTTCAAAGATTGGCAACTACTTTTGACAGTTTCAACGTGTAGGACAAACTGAACGTGCAGGGGAGGTGACGGCCACAACCCCTGAGCCCTGGAAGCACCCGTGCCGGGTGCGTGGTGGGAAAGGAAGCTCGGAACAGCCTCGGGGCAGCCCGCAGGATCCACCAGGCATTTCAATTCAACAGCCTTTGACCCAGTGATTCCATTTCTAGGAACTGAGTCCCCTGACCATCAATCACGTGTCTGAAATGCGGGTATGAGAACACACCGAGGTCCCTTTTTAGCATCAAAAAGTGAGAAATAACCTCAATTCTGCACTCAAAAGAGAAACGATTAAATAGACTACGGAAACTTCATACAACGGGCAACTGAGCAGCTGTTAAAAACAGGACAAGGCCACACGCACGGATACGAAACCAACAAAACACTTTTAAGTTAAAAAGCACGTGCGATGCAGCCCAACTCACACAGGGGGAAAACCCCGGGGCGCGCGTGTCAGAGTGCCAAGGCCCAGGGGCGCCCACCTCTCTGCGACTCATGCTTCTCCGTCTTGCCCTGGTAGTCGAAGCCCACCGCGCTCTTGTCCACCCGGTCGGCCTGCACGCCATACTTGCCACCAAAGCCGCTGGAGTAGTCTGCGGGGACAGAGTGGGGACAGGGCGGCATCTGGCTCGAGCCTTTCACCCTCAATCGTCCCTTGACAAACTAAGCAAAGCAAAGTTCTGGGGCCAGGACTCCCCAACAGAGCAAGCCTGCAGCCAGACAAACACGACAAGCCACCCACTGTCCAACAGGTGACAACGGACGCCATCACACATGCACTGTGGAGTCCTGATCCCAGTCGGCCATGACAAGGGCAGTCCCTTCGCACTGGAAGAGGTGAAGCCGCGTGCCCACTGTGAACCCCAGCTGTCCCAGGAAAGTCAGAGGACGAAGAAAGCAGACGGCGGACACCGCACAGACAAAGCCCGCCTTCCGCCTGCCTGCCCGTCCTCCACCTGGCCTGCACCTGGGCGGTGCGAGAGCTGAGGGCTCGTCCCAGGATTGTGCAGTGACACACAAGAGGCAGAATCAAGTATGCTTGCAAAACGTACTCGGAGCACCATCAGGAAGCGACACGCTTTGTCCTTTTAAAAGGCTTTAGAGGCCAGCAGGACGCAATTGAGATTCACCAGTCCCACAGCAAGATGTACCCGTAGAACGAAAACAAGAATTTAACTCCGGCTTTCATCCCTGGGGCAAGTTCATTCTTTGCCAGCCCAGTGAAGGGAAGGCAGCTCCCGCGGTCAGGCAGGAGGCCCAGCAGTGACACCAGATGCCAGGGTTCCAGGGCACCACGTGACGGGAACGCATCCGTCACAGGAGACCCAGAGGAGGGAGCAGTGTTTCCTGTGGTGACAGCCACCCCTCCCCACAAAGCAGGCTCCAGGAGCCTGTGACTATCCCCCTCAGAGCCTGGCCGACTGGCTGCGCTCTGGGTCTGGTTCCTCTTACCTTTCTGGGAGGCATGCTTCTCAGTCTTTCCCTGGTACTCGAAGCCCACGGCAGACTGGGGTGACAAAAACAAAGGGAGATGTGTCTTTAGATGTCTCCAAAGCAACCCCATGGAAGTCACCAGATCCTTGCAACTTGCAGAAACATTAGCCATGCCACTTTTTGGCCTTGGGTCTCCTGAGGCAACTGTAGGTGGCGTTCTGAGTGGACATGCCACAGAACGCTCTTGAGAGACCTGCCCTCCCCAGCATGCCACAGCAGGGCACGCTTGGCTGATTTATTTCAGCCACACACGCCCATCAGGAACAATTCCTCATGCCACTCACACGGTAGCGTTTATCTATCTTTTATTTTTTAGAAAGCAGGATTTATTGAGAGGACAGAAAAGCTCCCACAGTGGGAGGGGACCCGAAGGGGTTGCTCCAAGGTGGCTTTTCAAATATGCCGTACTAAGAACAACACTAATACTGACGACAAGAACAGCAGCGGCCACCACGGGCAGCTGCCCTCGCTGGACCTGAGCCACTCCAGGAAGAAGATACCGTCATCACCCTGTCACAACTCGCCGATTCACAATGGCTAGTGTGCGGCCTGGCCAGGACTCAGGCTGTGGGCTGTCCACGCCTGCCATCTGCTCCTTCACACCACGCTCAACGGCGCCCCCAGGACACAAAGGAGCCCGCAGTCGAGCCAAAGGGTCAGGGAACAGGCTCAGGCCTCGAACCATCGCAATGACACCTGGACAGAGCCCAGTCCTGAATAAGACATGCACAGCAGGGCTCTGCACGTCACCTTGTCACAGCGACACACAGCAGCAAAGATGGAGCTGGTCCCACAGGCACATCCCCAGACAAACGGCAGGCTGTCCGTGGTGGCACACGCAGCGCGGAGTCTGCTGAAGCATGCCGCATGCTCCCCCATGGGCCAGCCCTCACGGCAGCCCAGGGGAGGGACGCCCTCCCGCAGCCCCCAGGGTCGGAGCGCATCTGCATGCCACTGCACCTGCACACCGCCGCCAGCGGCCCAAGGACAGACAGGGCGGACGGCCTGCTGGTGCCGAAGGCAGCTCTGGCCTCCAGGGACCGGCCCCCAGCCCCACTTGCCTGTCGCACGCTGCACCGCTCACCTGGTCAACTCTGTCCATCTGGACACCGAACTTGCCTCCGAAGCCCCGGACCGAGTCCACCTGCGAGCAGTGCTTGGAAAGTTTCGACTGATACTCGTGGCCGACAGCTGACTGCAACAGGGGCCAAAAACACAGCATTAGACGCCCGGCTCGGGGGGCTGCCGTCCTCCCAGTGTGGGTGAAGGGAAAGCCACCCGGCAGCCCGAGGGCCTGTGAACGGGATGCAACTCCCGAGAGGACCTGCAGCCTGGCATCGCCCAAGGCCCTGCGGCCGGCTTCCCGGGCCACCCGCCCCCGGGTTCCCCAGAAGCCAGCCATGAAACCCACCACAGGTGGGGGCTCCCGACACGAGCAGGCTGAGGAGGACACAGAGCCGGCAGCCTGCAGCATGGATGCCAAGAGCCCTTCCCGGAGGCTGCCGGCAACAGTGGCTCCCAGGTGAGATGTCTGCAACCATGTGACCCAAGAATCAGGACAACGATGTGTTTGGCTAACAAACTGGAACAAGACACGGATGCCTCCTTTATAACAGATCTTGACTTGATGCAGACTGAGAAGCAGCCCTCGGAGCAGGCCAGGTACGCCACCTGCACGGCTCACGCCAGCATTCCCAACGCTGTCGGTCCCGTCGGAGGACACAGGCTCCCACAGACTCCGACTTGCCGGCAACTGAGAAGCAGTACCCCCATGTCAGAGGGAGTCCCCAGGGTCAGGCCAGGGTCAGGCCAGGGGTGCCGCCTGCATGGCTCATGCCAGTGTCACCGATACCGTCAGCCCTGTTGGAGGATACAGGCTCCAGGACCTTCTGTTCAAGGTCACACGTCTACCAAGCAGCAGGCCAGGAGCTAAAGCCCGGGGTCCCATCACACATTCCAGCCTCAGCACCCAGCTGTTTCTGGAAATGAAGCTTTCTGGAAGGCAGCCACGTCCACCCGCTGACTCGCTGTCTGCGGCGGCTTTTGGGCACCAGCCACCCCGGTCAGCAGCTTCCACAGAGCCCAGCTCTCCCACTCCAGAGTCCCGCCCTTGGGCCACAGCAAATGCTGGCTTCCTGGGTGGGGCTGGGGAGGAGACAGGCTGGGTGGCTCCTTCATGGACAGCGAGGACCCATGACCCAACACAGGGCGGGGAGAAGCCCAGGGCCCTGCGAACCCACCTGCCTACCCCACCCAGCGCCAACTCAACAGGCCTCAGCACCAGCACAGACACATTCAAGCCAGGCAGCGTCTACTCCTTCCGAATGAAAACAGGCTTCAGGCTCAGCCTCAGGAAAAACGTGTTACTTTCACTCCTTCCCGTGCCAGCTCTAAGGTCGGCAGTCAACTCCCATCCACACGAGCTCCAGCCTCCACACGCACGAGGGCAGAGACCCACTGGCATGGCCTCCCAGTTTCAGCCAGAGATGCAGACAGAGGTGTGCCAAGAGGCAGCAGCCATGTCAGAGGGATTCCCCAGTGCCAGATCTCACCAGAAAGCAGGTATATGAACCACGTGTGATGGCTCATGCCGATAATCCCAGCACTTTGAGAGGCTGACGTGAGAGGAGTTCCTGAGGCCAGGGGTTCAAGACCAGCCTGGGCAACTCGACAAGGCCTTGTGTCTACAATCATCAAAAAATTCAAAATATTAGCTGGGCATGGTAGCATGTGCCTGGTGTTCTAGTTATTTGGAAGGCTGAGGTCGAAGGATCACCTGACCCCAGCAGGTCGAGGTTGTGGTGGCTGTGAGCGTGCCACTGCATTCCAACCTAGGCGACAGAGTGAGACCCCAACTCAAAAAAAAAAAAAAACCACCAAAGTGCTGGGTTTACAAGTGTGAGGCTCCATCCATGGCCACTCTGGCCATATTTTTGGAACAGTTTTCATATACCTTCTTTTTTACCAGCTCCCGAGTAGCTGGGACCATAGGCGCGTGCCATCATGCCCGGCTAATGTTTTTATTTATGGTAGGTACGTGAGCCACTGCGCCCAGCAAACCCAACACTTTGGTAGGCCAACGCAGGACTGCCTGAGCCCAGGAATTCAAGACCAGCCTGGGCAATATAGCAAGACCTCGTTGCTCTACAAAAAAAATCTAAAAATGAACGGGGTGGGAAGGTGCATGCCTGCAGTTCCAGCTGCTCGGCAGGCTAAGGCAGAAGGATCATCTGAGCTCCAGAGATCGAAGCTTCGGTGGGCCGTAATCGTGCCACTGCACTCCAGCCTGGGTGACGATGAGACCCCAACATACACATATTCACTCCTACACACACACACACACACACACACATAACCTGCAACTTCCAAGCTGCAGGTTCAAGGGTGGATGAGACCCAAGCCAGCGAAGGCGCAGTCCCAACAGCAGCAGAGAAGCTGATCACTGTGGCTGCATTTTCCCAACCTTTAGAATAAGTTTCTCCTGCTCAAACTACCCCCAGGCACAGTGAGCACAGGGCTAGTCTCGGTGTGGGGTGGGCAGGCTTCCACCTGCCTGAAGGGCCCATTGTCCTGAACACGTGCAACTGTCTGTTCGGCTACACTCCTAAGAGCCACCAGACTTTTGTTCAGAATCCAAGGATTTTTTCTTCTCCAGACGCTGACATCACAGTGACAGGACGTCTCTGGGCAGTGACACAGGGAAGCAGCAGCACCATGTCTCCTTCCTGCAGAAGGCCCCCTGTCCCCACCAGATCCAGGCTATCTGTGGCCGTGGCCTGGATGTCCCCCAGGCCCCCAGCCTGCTCACTCTGCTGGCGCCAGAGTGGGGGCAGCTTACGGACACAGCTTTGATAGCCCGTCCCCAGCTCAGACCTCAACCCGACCCGTACACGAGGCTGGAGAGGCATGAAATTACTGTCCAGAACCTGACACCGGCAGACACTGTAACTTCCACCCGGCAGAGCAAGGCAAAAGCATCTGTCAGGGCAGAATACCCAGTGTGGCTCCAACTCAGAAATTCACCTGTACGAGATGCCCGCAGAAGGTCAAGACCGACTTTATTGGAGAAACATGCAAACCCACTGGAATCTACGCCATCTCCTCTCCAAGGAGAAAAAGGAGCAGCCCTCCTAATCCACACGCTCCCTTTTTCCCGAGGTGGAGAAGGCCTACAGCACTGGCCAGGTGACGCATTCAGTCCACAATGTCCATCAACACCCGCTGATTAGTCTAACTCCATCAATGAGAGCTCACAAAAGGCTCGCCTACAACTCATGTTGTTTTTTAAAAAATAAAGACGGGGGCCAGGCTCGGTGGCTCAGTCTGTCGTGCCCGCACTTTGGGAGGCTGAGGCAAGTGGATTGCCTGAGCCCACGGGTTCGAGACCAACCCGGGCAACTTAGCGAGACCTCGTCTCTATAAGAAATCAAAAATTAGCCCGGCATGGTAGCACAGGCCCATAGTTCCAGCTACTTGGAAGGCTGAAGCGGAAGGATCGCCAGAGCCCAGCAGGTCACCGCTGGGGTGGCCATGAGCATGCCACTGTGCTCTAGCTTGGGCAACAGAGTGAGACTCCAACTCAAAAAAAAAATAAAGACAGGGAGGCTGGGCACGGTGGCTCAAGCCTGTCATCCCAGCACTTTGGGAGGCCAAGGTGAGCCCAGCCTGGGTAACTTGGCAAGACCTCATCTCTATAATAAATCAAAAAATTAGCCGGGCATGGTGGTGCATGCCTATGATTCCAGCTCCTCAGAAGGCTGAAGTGAAAGGATTACCTGAGCCCAGCAGGTGGAGGCTGTGGTGGCCATGAGCGTGCCAGTGCACTCCAGCCTGGGCGACAGAGCGAGAGTCCAACTCAAAAATAAAATAAAGACAGGGTCCCACTCTGTCATCCAGGCTGACATGCAATCACAGCTTACTGCAGCCTTAACCTCCTAGGCTCATGTGATTCTCCCGCCTCAGCCTCCCAAGTAGATGGGGGTCTCACTACATTGCCCAGGCTGGTCTCGAACTCCTGGCCTCAAGCAACACTCCTGCTCTGGCCTCTCAAAGTGCTAGGATAACAAGCGTGAGCCACCGCACCCAGCCAAGAACCATAGCTCTTTAAACAGTGTGTTATGCTCCAGCCGCGTGGGCACCGAACATACACAAAGGCCTCCTGAAGACTCATCTCTGAAGGCCAGTGGACGCAGGAAGACCATCAGCTAGACCAGTGGGGGACTTTCCGTGGGTGCTGTGTACCAAGAGGGGGACCGCAGATTCGGTTTTGGGGGGTGCATTGGCCTGACTTGGGCTGCAAGCTAAGACCGCAGGCAGTGACAGCGCGCACACCTGTGGTCAAGATGCTTCTGGACATCTGTCCTGATCCCGCAGCTGCCTCTGTGGGCCGCTCGCCCCCAAGCCTCCCCGCGCAACATCCACACCCCAGCACCTCCAGGGCTTTTACAGGAGCTTCCAGAAGAGCCTTAACACCTCGCCAGCACGTCCAATCAACAGAGAACTACTTGGGGCCAAGGGCGCTCTGAAGCAACGGACTCAGAACTGCCAGCCTCCAGAGACGGGGAGTGGGGGAGGAGTGGCGCTAGGGGTCCAGGCACGCCGGGCCCGGCGCTGGCAGCCAGCCTGCTCACCTTGTCCATCCGGTCCTGTTCCACACCGAACTTCCCTCCGTAGCCATGGGAGGCTTTGGGGCCGGTTTCGAGTTCCTTCTCCTTAAGGGTCTGGTGCTCTTGAAATACATTCTCTCTCAGCTTGTGTATGCTTGAAAGGAAGAGCAAAGATGGAGACAGACCAGGAAAACAGACGCGCACCCTCACCACCTCCCGGGACAGACAAGCGCAGGTGATATTCTCTGCGTAAACCTGCAAGTGTGCCCAGCTGGTGCCACCCCACGCCCACCCGCACCGTGCCTTCCCAGCTGCTCTGCCAGCTGGACACACACGTCTGAGTTCCTGGTACCAGGTGGCGATCCGTGGAAGAGAAGCCCCGACCTCAACATGCACAGTGGATCATCTGACCTCCCCGCAAGGAGGGCGCCTGCACCCTGAACCTTACTTCGCGTGGAGAGAAGCATCACGCCTTACTAGAAAGACAGAAAGGCTACGAATGTCATCGGGGTGGGGAAGACACACACCAAAGTCCCTGGCGCCAGACATCCCATGGACGCCACAAGCCTAAGGTGCTAAGATTTAAGATAGCTTGTCCTTACTTGAAGTACTCTGGTCCTCCAGCTTTTTTTTTTTTGAGTCAGAGGCTCGCTCTGTCACCCAGGCTGGAGTGCAGTGGCATGCTCATGGCCACCGCAGCCTCAGTGAGCCTGCTGGGCTCAGACAATCCTTCCGCCTCACCCTTCCAAGTAGCTGGAACTACAGGCACACACCACCATGCCCAGCTAATTACTGCAGCTTTTTATACATTCAAAGATGAGATGACAGGCTAGGTGCGGTGGCTCACACCCATAATCCCAGCACTTTGGGAGGCCGAGGTGGTAAAATCACTTGAGCCCAGGAGTCAGGAACCAGCCTGGGCAATATAGCAAGACCTCATCTCTACAAAAAAATGAAAAAATTAGCTGGGTGTGATAACACACACCCGTAGTCCCAGCTGCTCGGGAGGCTGAGGCTGAAGGATCACCTGGGCCTAGGTCGAGGTTGTGGTGAGCTGTGATCGTGTCACTGCACTCCAGCCTGAGCGACAGAGTGAGACTCTGACTGAAAAAAAAAAAAAAAAAACCTAAAAAAGAAGAGATGAAAGTCCTTTGGAATTTGCCATCTAAACGCCATTTTCATTTTTACTACAGGAGAGAGTGAAACAGATCACAAGATGTGGTCAAAATCTGGCAGGCCAGGAAGCAGCGGTCACCTGGAGACCTCCAAGTATCTCAAAGGCCACCTCAGCAGGTGACCTTTCTGCCCAAGAGACTCCAGGCCCGCACCTTCCACAGGTGGCCCACAACTCCCACAGGTGGCCCACAACTCCAGAGGTCCAGATAAAGTGCAAACTGGGCTCGGAAGCCACCCAGCTTCCTCGGGCGCCGGGGAAGGTAAGACACCACTCCTGATACCCCTTTCTGACTTGCAGCCAACCCAGAAGCTGTCTGTACCAGGGAGTTCCGTTTATTCTCCAGCCGCCCTCCGCAACATGTTTGAGGCCACAGGGAACAAGAGTCAAGAAGAAGTCCTGATGTCAGGACCCCATTCGGGAGTCGGCTCATCCCCTGGCAAGCGACCCCCACTGCGCCGGACTCCCGTCCCAGCCAGCCCCCGGTCCTCTGCACCCTCAAGCCGTTCCTAGGGAAGGCAGTGGACCCAGCGAGTCAGAAAGGGGCATTGCGGTGTCCGAAGCCCCTGCAGATGCTGCCTTCCTTCCCAGGTAACCGACTGGCTTTCTCAGCAGGAGGTCCTGCAGACGAGCAAGGGTCTTCCCAAAGCAGAGAGGCAGGCCACCAGTCGGCAAGGCTGCCTGCCCCGCCGGGAAACGGAAGGACACACTGAGCCCAGCACAGCCTAAAATAAAAGCCTGAGTGTGTTTTCACGTTCCCTGTATCTCCACTTCCTGACGAGAAGACAGCTACCCCGAAGCTGGCAGTTCAGATAGTGCCAAGTCAGAAACAAGCTCCTGGGTCACTCAGTTCTCCTGTCTGGGCTTTTTACCAGAATATAAGGCTTAGAATTCGGCTCACAGCCTCCAACACCTAAGCTCTGCAGGACACAATCGCTTTCTGGCAGTAAGACAAATAACAGAGGATGTTTAAGGAATAAATTACTAGGAGATACTTCATGCTTTGGAAACCTCCTATTTATCAAAGAAGCGTGAGGTAACCCTGTGCGTTGGTGAAAACCCCATGACTAAAGAGTGAACTCCAGGCTGGGCGCAGTGCTCAGCCTGTAAGCCCAGCACTTCGGGAGGCCGAGGCGAGAGGACCGCTTGAGCCCAGGGGTTCGAGACCAGCCCGGGCAACTTGGTGAGACCGCATATCTATAGTAAATCATAAAAACTAGCCAGGCATCATAGTATGTGTCTGCAGTTACAGCTACTTGGAAGGCTAAGGCACAAGGATCGCCTAAGTCCAGCATGTCGCGGCTGTGGTGGCCGTGAGCATGCCCCTGCACTCCAGCCTGAGCAAGGGAATATATAAATACCTACATGCACACACACACGGCACACATACATTGCGTCCCATATCCATGTACCCAGCAGATGTCAGGTCAGGAAGACACAAGCCACGCCCGCACATGATGACTCGGAGGGAACCCCCGCCCCATGCGACACGTCCCCAGCGTGGGGCGAGGCTCTTACTCAATGTGTTCCTGGTGGCCGGAGCCCTGCACGGTCTTGGCGCCCCATCTTTGCTCCTTCTCACTCACATCGTTCTGAAAAGAAAAATAACTCAGGACCCCAACACCCTGGGCTGTAACCAGACCAACAAACCGCCCGTCCATCCAGTCAACCCCTCGGAGAGGAGCTAAACACCGGCAGAGGTTCCTACCACAAAATCGGGGTCGGTCTCCCAGTCATCAGCGCCGCCGTCATCCTGGGTGATGGACACCGCGTGGCCTGCTGAGGCTTTCCACATCTGAAAGAGAGGCCCCAGGACGGTGACAGACTGGGAGAGCCACCCAGAAGCTGCAGAACAGCTGACAACACAGGGAGGGTGGGGCCGCAGGGCCAGCCACCCTTCATGACGCCTGAGCACCGATGACGGCCGTGGAAGCAACAGGAACGCGACAGCAAGAGCTCTCACACTGCTGTCACTGGGCATCTGAAACATCTGGAAGCACTCTTTGGCCTTCACCCCAAGTAAGAACACTTTCTGGAAAAGGACAGCCAGGCATGTACTTACTCCATTCATTGAGAACTCACCCCTGTTCTGCTAAATATTATGACAATAGTTTCTAAGCCAAAAACCACGCTATTCTGGTTCACACGTGATAAACACACTAAATGTCACTAACAGGCTGGGTACAGTGGCTCAAGCCTGTAATCCCAACACTTTGGGAGGCTGAGGCAAGAGGATTGCCTGAGCCCAGGGGTCTGAGACCAGCCTGGGTAACACGGCGAGACCTCGTCCCTACAATAAATCAAAAAATTAATCAGGCAAGCTGGCACAAGCCTGCAGTTTCAGCTACTTGGAAAGCTGAGGCAGAAGGATCACCTGAGCCCAGCAGGTTGAGGCTGGGGTGGCTGTGAGTGTACCGCTGCCCTCCAGCCTGGGTGACAGGGTGACTCCAACACAAAACAAACAAACAAACAAATTAACAGTACATTTCACAGTATGTGTATCTTATCACGATTTCTTAAGAAAAGTACACATTTTGATTTCAAGGGCTTACTGGAAATATAACAATGATTTTCTTGATTCAGACAGACCATTTACTAAATGTTTCAAGGACTTTATGAGAGGACTGCTTTACCATCTACTTGGGGAAAACAAGTAACAGGAAACACCAACTTTTCCCATCAGGCACCCTGAGAGTAGGCAGTCACCATCCTCAGCACCTTAAGACTGAAAGGTTTTCCCCATCAGAGAGAACAATGCGTACTGCCACGACAGTGCCTCTTGTAATTGCAAAGTAAAATCTACCCTTAAAGGGATTTTTTAAAAACTAGATTCATTTTCCATAGAACTATTAATAAAAGCTCGCATAAGCCACAAAAAAACTGAGAGATTATTCTAACTCCAACAACCAGAAGCTGCGCCCCAAGATCTGGACTGAGGATGTCTACCCCTTTTTTTCTCAGGTACCACGCTGGTGCTCTTGTGGCCTAAATTAAGATGGGACAGGCTGGGTGTGATGGCTCACACTTTGAGAGGCCAAGGTGGGACATCACTTGAACCCAAGAGTTTGAGACCAGCCTGGGCAACATAGCAAGATCTGCTATCTACAAAAAATAAAAATTAGCCAAGCTTGGTGACGTGCCCCTGTCGTCCCAGTTACCCGGGAGGCAGAGGTGGGGGGATTACCTGACCCCAGGTGGTCACGCTGAGGTGAGCAGTGCTCACGCCCCTGCGATCATGCCATCTGGGTGACAGAATAAGACCCTGACTCAAAAAAGAAAGAGATAAAGCTCTTCACCAGCTTGAGAACTTCCCACCTCTCGCCCTCCAGCCCTACAGGGTCTCAAGTTCAAATCCAAAATGGTGGCTCGATGAGCCCTGCCAGGTCACTGAAACAGGGAACCACAGGTCGGCGGGTAGGGCAGGCCGCGAGACCCCTCAAGCCTCGCCTGGACACCCCAAGCTCAGCAAGCCCCCAGGCAGAACTTTCAGGCTTAGGATTCTCGGGTGCAGAGGAAGCAGGCTCTCGGCAGCAATGGGCATGACCAGGCAGCCCCATCCTGGCGCCCACTTACGGACTAACAGGCAGTTGCAGGGACTGGTCTGCCCAGCTGCCAGTGCCCGGGCACCACGCGGCCCTAGAGCGGGCTGCCCACCAGGGGCTCCAGCGGCCCGCGGCACCAACCCGAGGTGGCCGCCACAGGAGGGGATGGGAGCGACACAGGGCGGGTGAAGCCGACTGTCACCCGAGTCACAGCGAAGGAGCTGCCTTTCCTGGCGCTGCTCTGGACTCCTCGAGGACAGGTGAGCGGAGTCTGGCTGACCTTTCTGGAGCCTGCGTCCCCAGCAGGCAACTTTCACCTGCTTCCTCACAGTACACCCCGCCCACTTTCAGCAGAACATACAGGAAAGGGCAGGTGGCCGCCCAAGGGCGCAGGAATGCTTCCTGTTCCTCCCTTCCAGAGTTTTCTGCAACTCCCTCCTCTAAGTCACAGGCAGAAACCTGAATAGATTTTTTAAACGAGGAAATTTTCTTCCAGAAATGACTGTCTCTCTCCCTGCAAATGCAGGGAAGGGCACCTCCTCCCTTCCCTGTTGACACTTCACCCCCGTCCCTGGGGAGAGAACAGGAGCATGTTCAAAAGTACACACCTTGGTCTCCAGGGGACGCTGACAGGTCGCTCACAACACTCTGCTGTGTACCCGGCAGTCTCGGGAGGGTGTTCCAGGCATGGGGACCGGCACAGCCTGTGAAAAGATGAGGGGCGAAGGCTCGAGGGGTGGCAGCCCATGGGGCTCCCGGCATGTGTCCATGGCAGAGTACTCTTAGAATCTCTCGGAACACTGGGCCCATGGCACATGCCTGTCATCCCAACACTTCGGGAGGCCGAAGCAAGGGAATCTCCTGAGCTCAGGGGTTCGAGACCAGCTTGGGCAACATGGCGAGACCTCATCTCTATAATAAATCAAGAAATTAGCTGTGCGTGGTGGTGCGCGCCTGTAGTTCCAGCTACCTGGAAGGCTGAGGCAGAAGGATTGCCTGAGCCCAGCAGGTCGAGGTTGCGGTGGCCTTGAGCATGCCACTGCACTCCAGCACTCCACTGCACTGGGCGACGGTGAGACTCAGACTCAAAAAAAAGGAGAAAGAACCCCTCGGAAATCCTGCCAAACACAACGAGGTTGTGGAAAAACTATGAAAGCAGGAGGGAAAGATTTGCATTAACGAATCCAAAGCGCAATGCAGAGATACCAAAGAAGGAGCTTTGTCAAGACTACATGACACTTCTCAGGGTAGACAGAGATTAGTCTCGGCTGCTGGAACATGGCTCTTGGCGACCAGAATTCTGATGAGTTTTCATTGTTTGTGCATTCTGATTTATGACATTACTAGAAATGACAAAAAGCTGCTACTGTGAGCATTTTAAAAAATAATGTGACAGCACTCCTTGAAGGGATCATGAGCAGGCGACTGTCCCCAGGCCGAGGACAACAGACAGAGTTGAGAAGTCAGCTGCATCCCTAAAGCACCTCCGGGCGCAGAACAGGATTCCAGGAGTCTGAGGAATGCTGAAACAATTGCCTCTGTGCGGTCCATAAACACACATTTAAAACCGTGGAGAGTTGGGCATGGTGGCTCACACTGTCGTCTCAGGACTTGGGGAGACTGAGGCGAGAGGACTGCCTGAGCCCACAGGTTTAAGACCCACCTGGACAACATGGCGAGATCCTGTCTCTACAATAAATCAAAAAATTAGGCAAGCATGGTGGCGCACACCTGTGGTCCCTGCTACCAGGAAGGCTAAAGTGAAAGGATCTCCTAAGCCCAGCAGGTCGAGGTTGCAGTGGCCATGAGCATGCCACGACACTCCAGCCTAGGCGACAGAGTGAAACTCTGACTCAAAAAAAAAAAAAAAAAAAAATGTGGGGATAGGAGCAAATATTTTAATATGTTTCTTTGAAGAAAAAAAAAAAAAAGGAACTTGAGGAGCTCGAGACTAGCCTGGGCAAAAAATCAAGACCCTGTCTCTACAAATAAATAAATCGTAAGTAAGTTAAATAAATAAAAAATTAGCTGCCTCTAGTCCCAGTTACTTGGGAGGTCATGGCAGGAAGATCACTTGAACCCGGGAGTTTGAGGCTGCAGAGTGTTATAAGTGAGCCATCGTGTTTCAGCTTATAATCCCAGCTACTCAAGAGGCTGATGCAGAAGGATCGCCCCAGCCCAGGAGGTCAAGGCTGCTGTGAGCTGTGATCGTACCACTGCATTCCAGCCTGGGCGACAGAGGACGACCCTGTCTCAAGAAAATCAGGCAAAGGATGTGAACAAACACACCCCCAAAGAAGATCTACGAATGACTAATAAAGTCATGAAGAGATGTTCAATGCCATTGCCATCTGGGAAATGCAAATCAAAACCCCAAAAAAACCACTGTGAAAATGGCTAAAACCAACACAACAGACAATAACAAGTGTTGACAAGGGGATAGAGAAACCGGAACCCTCCACACTGCTGTTGGGAGTGGGAAACGGAAGACTCCAACTCAAAAAGAAGATGAGCAAAGTACTGGCACGTGGCACACGTGGGTGGCCCTGGACACAGCGCACTAACAAAAGAACCCGACACAGAAGACAAGATTAGGTGATTCCATCCATATGAACCACCCAGAAGTGGCAAGTCCATGGAGGTAAGAAGTGCATCCGTGGCTGCCCAGGCCAGGAGGGGGCTGGGGCGGCGGCGGGGATTGGGAGGCCAGGACCAAGGACGCAGTTTCTTTCTGAAACTCATTCTGGACTCTGCGTGGTGGCTCAGGGCTATCATCCCAGCACTTTGGGAGGCCGAGGAGAGAGGACTGCCTGAGACCAGGGGTTTGAGGCCGCCTGGACAATGTGGTGAGACCTCATCTCCACAATAAAAAAAATCAAAAATTAGCCAGGCATGGTGGCACGGGGCTGTAGTTCCGGCTCCTTGGAAGGCTGAGGCGGAAGGCTCGCCGGAGCCCAGCAGGGCGAGGCTGGGTTGGCTGGAAGTGTGGCACTGCAGTTCAGCCTGGGCGACAGAGGGCGACTCCGACTCAAAAATAAACAAATAAAAATAAAAGTATTCCGGGACTGACTGTGGTGGTGGCTGTGCAACTCTGGGAACATACAAAGACCGCTGATGTGTACATCCAAGCAGGCACATTGTGTCGTGTGTGAATTAGATCTCAGTAAAGTTGTTCCCCAAAATCCAGTTCAAAGAAGAGAGTGCCTCGGTCCTGCGCCATCAATAATGACCCACCCCTGAACCATGCCCATGCAAACCAAGACCGCACAAGCATGGAGTCATCTCGCTGCATAAGCAGAGGGAACACTCCTCTACAGAAGGACCGCCACTAGCTTCCATCGGCCTCCCTGTCGCAGCCAGCAAAAGGTCAAGAAGAACAGAGGCCACTCTCACTCAAGGCCTCCCTCCCCACCCTGAGTATACCCAGTATACTCAGTACACCCAGAGTAGTGCTTGGGCAGAGGGGCCTGGACTTGGCCGACAGCAAAAGACAAGTCTGTGACGGAGAATGCGGCCCCTGCTCTCGCTGCCCCAGAATATGGCAACACAGAGGGGCACCCAGCACGCACCCCTCCCCCTTCGAGGCCACATTTCCCGAGCACCCACTGCACAGTGCAGACAGAGGGCCGAACCGCCAGTTGCATTCCCTGTCATGTAAAATGTGTCAAAAGTGTCTTGAAAACAAGTCCATCAAAAAGTGCTACAACTCTGGCCAGGCACAGTGGCTCACACCTATAACTCCAGCACCTTTGGGAAGCCGAGGTGAGAGAACTGCCTGAGCCCATGGGTTCGAGACCAACCTGGCCAACCTTGTCGCTACAATAAATCAAGAAATTAGCCGGACATGGTGGCGCGTGCCTGCAGTTCCAGCGACTTGGAAGGCTGAGGTGGAAGGATCACTGGAGCCCAGCAGGTTGAGGCTGAGGTGGCTGTGAGTGTGCCACTGCACTCCAGCCTAGGCGAGAGTCAGACTCCAACTCAAAAACAAACAAAATGCTACAACTCAAAGTTAGCCTAGGTACACGCCCGTGGAGGCCAAGATGGGAGGACGCCTGAGCCCAAGAGCGGGAAGCTGCAGTGGCTGTGACGGCACGGGTGAACAGCCACTGCACTCCGGCCTGGGCCACAGAGACACGGTCTCTAAAAAACCCGTGTTGTCTGGACTCCCTGCAAGACTCTTCCCTGCTCCCCTCCTGGAACACTCCAACACTGCTCCAGCCAGCGAGAGGGGCGGGACTGACTCAGTGCCCAGGAGCCAGTCACTGGACTCGCCCGCGCAGGCGCCGCAGGAGTGGGTGCAGGGGCTCGGGGAGCAGCGCCCTGAGGCCCTAGAGGGTGAAGCCCTGACAAAACACCGTTCAGTCAAGCCCACACTGGGCCAAAAGGAGCGTGGGCACAGTCGCCCGAGGGATCCGAGAGCGCCCGAGGGAGCCGCGAGGGCTGCAGTCTGCAGAAAACGGGGCTCCTCCCCCAGCGCCACAGTCTGCAGGCAGGGAGCCCGGCGCTCACCCAGACCCCCCAGCCCCCCCGCCGGGACGTCCAGGCGCGGTGGGGCGGGAGAAGCGACCCCAAAGCCCCTTTCTGGTGGTTCCACACACCCAGGAGGAGGGAGCTTCCAAATTTAGAGCCTCAGGGATGTGGCGGCGCCTCCACTGACCTGATTGCAAAACCTGCCCTCAGGTGCCCGCAGGGCTTGCACTGGGCCCCTGAAGCCCCCAGGGCCTCTGCACCCTCCCCTCGGACCCCCGTTCCCCACGCTGGCGGATTTGGACCCCTGCCTTCCGATCCTCACCCCCAATCCCCCGCGGATCCAGGCCCCTCCCCTCAGCCCGTCCCTGACCCCTTGGCTCTGGGCCTATCCCCTCGAATACCATCCCCACCCCTCGACCCAACCCCCAGCCCCTCCATAGGAGCTCCTCCCCTCAGGCCCTCTGGGATCTGGCCCCGCCCTGGACATCCACTCCCATCTCCTGGGATTCAAGCCTCCTCCCCTCGGACCCCCATCCCTTTCCCTGGACCCCTCCTCATCAGATCTCTCCCGCTCTCCTAGGACCCCCTGCCCCCATTCTCCTAGTGTCTCAGATCCCAGCCCCTCCCCTTGGATCCTGGCCCCTTCCACTGGGAACCCCCAGCCCCCGAGGCGCAGTGCCCCTCCCACTCGGGCGACATCCCCGCCCCCTCGGATCCCATCTCCTAAGCCCCCCTCCCCCTCAAACCCTCCGCCCTTTCGCCAAGGTCCTCATCCTCTGTCCCTAGCCCCTCGACCGACCCCTTCCCTCACTGCCGAACCCCTCCGGCCGGGCACCCCTCCCCCTCAGGCTCCATTCCCAGCGTCCTCGGACCCCAGACCCCAACCCTCGAGGACCCTCCTCTTCACCCTCGGCTCCCGGTCCGTGCCCCAAGCCCCTCCTCTACGTCCTCCAGCCCCGGACCCCTCCCTCCTGAGCCCCCTTCTCTACGCCCTCGGACTTGGGAACTCGAGCCCCAAGCCCCCTCCTCTACCCTCTCAGGCCCCAGACCCCTCCCTCCTGAGCCCTCTTCTCTATGCCCTCGGACCCGGACCCCACCCCGGGCGCCCTCTGCGATGTCCTCGGACCACGGACCCTCCCCCGAGTCCCCTCCTCTATGCCCTCGGACCCTGGCCTCCCTCCCCGCCTCCTCTACGCCCTCAGATGCCGGACACCTCCTCTCTGGGCCCCCTCCCCTGCGCCCTCGGACCCCTTCCCC